GGTACTACAGCTTCACAACACCAACACAACTGAAAAGCTGCAGATCTAAAATCATCTTTCCTGTTGAACAGATGGTGAGTGCTCAGATGTGTCCTCAGGGCTCCACCTTTCATGGTGGTTATTGCTACACCCTCAGTACTGAACGCAAGCTGCCATGGAGTGAAGCAAACAGGGCCTGCAGGGAAAGGTACAGTTGTGTGTTCCCACAAACACGTTATGCATTACAAACACGATGAGCATGAGTGCTTCTTTTTCCTCCTAACGGCAGGTTTAGAGGAACACTGGCCAGTGTTGCGTCTCAAGCTGACATGGACTGGCTGTGGGACTTTGGTGGAAGGAAGCCTTTCTGGATCGGTACGTGTCCTGTTTTTACATGTGTGAGTAAATGCAACGGTGTCATTGGTGTCGGCTCCTCATTCGCTTGTAATGCATTCTAAATAAAAAATCACTCACTGTGTAAAAATGGACTTTCAGTTTAGTTTAATATGTAAAGTTTAAAGTGCGCTGGACACAAAGTAACTACAACCTCCACCTCATCTGACTGGAACATTCGTTAAGTTTAACGAAACATTTTTGCATCCAGTGCAAAGAATTCTAATGTGTTTAAAAATATAATCATAATATGTAAATAAGTAGTGAATTCAATAACAACAGCGTTGCTAGAACATTATTTTCTAACATCTGGTCTCCAAAGTATTGATTCGTTTTATTGAGGCAGAAGGTTTTGATTTTGCTCCCTGCCTGTTCTCTCCATCCTTACATGGATTCAATCCCGGTACTCCTGTTCTAGTCGTCCAGAGACGGGGTGCTGGTTTAGTTCAGTGGGCTGAGCGATCCACCGTGTGCAGCTGCTCACCCACCGAGCTAAATCCGACGCTGCACATCTGTATGTTGTGTTTGCAGGGAGCCGTCTAGCCCAGGGCCAGAGCCCCACACGGTTCTGTCCGTGCATTTTTTATGCAGAATGTAACGAGCTCATCTTCTCTGTTGCGCCAGGTCTGAACGACAGGGAGGGCCGAGGACGCTGGGAGTGGGCCGGAGGCGAGCCGGTCGGCTACACCAACTGGAGAAAAATGCCTCTTCAGCCAAAAAAGAAAGAAAGCAGAAAGTGTGTTCTGGTTTGGAGGAGGGCAAAGTGGCAAATCAGGGAGTGTAAGACGAGCAGAGGTCATCGCTTTGTCTGCTCGGTTAAAATCTGAGTTCAGCACCGTCCAGTCCAGCGCGGTCCGGCAGCAGTGAGCTGCCACTGTGCGTGACAGAAATTCACAACCTGTTTACAATTAACACGTGAAAAGAGAGCTTGGTGTCCAAACACAGTTCATGTTGGACTCATATTCACAGTGCAAGTGTTGCAAGTGTTGCAGTGAAGACGTCCTTGGGGCCTTAATCAGCTCCTCAGCCTCTGTTTGAACCACAGTTACTAAACATTCATGCGTTTTGTTCATAAGTATGTAAACGTGGGAAGATGAGCTGAATCCGTTCATTTATTTTCCTTATTAAAAGACTGACTCATGTAAATGTGCTGATATTGTATTTGTGTGCAATTATAAGTGACAGCCAGCTGCTGCTGCATTATCGACTTTATTAAACACATATTAACAGAGTTAATGTTATTGCACCAATAAAAACAGGCTTTGTTTGTCACGAGCTGCTGCTGCTGTCGTTTTTCTCTTTTCAACATCATCTCTGCTGCTCCGAC